CTCAGATCCTTCCTTTTGACTGCCCAAGGATGCCAGGCAATTGGTCTGGTTCACAGATGGTAGCTCAGAACTAAAGGCAATTCTGTATGGAAAGCAGATATTGAGTCCAGCAGAAGGTAACATCCTTATCAAAGAACAAGCTGGTCCACTGAGTTGAATTACATGTTGTATTCCTAGCCATGATAGAAGAAATGGACACAAATAAAAGCCTCACTATTTGGGTAAATACTGACTCCAATGCACTTGAAATTGGTCTAACAATCGGCCATAAATAACTGAATAAGATTCCCACATGTGGGCCACCACTCTATATAAATCTCTACGGAAACTCTGAGGGTAAAACGAAGTAGGCCATGTTGATGCTCACCAAAGAAACCCTATGCCAGGGTTTGAAGGTGACTGGAATCAACTAGTTGATGGCCTAATTTGATCTGCTGAAATGTCAACAAAGGTCCATGAAATGCGTGGACATGGAGGAACTCAGGCCAGGCAGATGCACTGGACAATGACATAGATCACTGGCCCCTACCGAAGCTCAAATTGTTAATAAGAATTCTTCTTGGAACAGTACAGTTCCATTTTTCTGTATTTATCCAGTCTGTCCCCTTGTAATTGGGAATGGACTAGCTCAGTGGCTGGACCAGAAAATTATACTTTAGCGGGGAAAGGGTATGAGTTAAAATTAATGATGAATGGAAAGGCAAGGTTGTTGCTGAGGGAAAGGGAGCCAATAAATGAGTGCCACAAAAGGGAAAATCTAACAATTTTGGTGCCTCAAGAGATGCTTAAAGCAAGAGGATAATATTTCGCTCAGCCTTAACTCAGAAGCTCTTGGGTGAAGGGCTCTGATGAAATCTCTTCCTCTTCTGAAGAGCCAAAAAGAGAGCTAGACAATAGCCAACCTAACAAACACACTTCCCAGAGTGATATATGTCCTCAAAATGGATGAAGAGATGGGAGCTCTGTGTCTGACTACGTGAAACAATACAACTGTAGCTAGTTTTTTTGATTCTCATTTCATAGGATGGATCTATTATAGAGGACCTGTATTGGGAAGAAACCTGTGGGCATATTTAATAGGCTGAACCTGAAAAACACTGATTAATAATAATCTAAATGGACATTATGTAGCCATTAATTGTGATGATGGTTTAAAAAGGGTACCACAATGTGATAGTAGAATGGCATCTACTACATGTCCCATCTGTCATAATAACATTATGTGTAAAAATAGCTATTTGCCCTTTTCTTGTGGGTGAATAGGCATGAAGAGGAGGAGGGACATTTGGGACACTTGGATCACTGATAAAGAAAAAGTTAAAACTTAGTGGGCCTACATTCCTGAGAATTTTGGAATTTGTTGTTGTTGGTTATGGGAAGCGCTATGTAAAACTCAAACCAAAGTCTGTTTAAGAGTAGACCAAAGTCAACTCATATGATCTAGGCCTGGAGGAATTACCATTTTGGGGGTACCAAATTTATTTCCTAATTGTACTAAAGCAGTTAGTACTCAATGGCAACATGTCTGGTGTTGGCCCACTAGAAACGAGAGCTTTAGAGGAATTAGGAGCTGGGCTATGAGTAACTGGCCAGGCAGATTTGCTTTCAATAAGGAAAGACCTACTAACATGAATAGGGTGCCTTGAAGGCATCCTATTCCAGGAGTAAAGACAAAAGTGGCAAGATACTTGAAGTAATAACACAGTGCTCACAAAACGAATCTTTTAATTACAGCATACACTAAGACAACATGCCCAAATAAACCCAGCAGTGAGAAGGGAACAAGCTTATGTGTTAATATAAGCTAGGTTAATAGATTCCTTAATTCAAATGGAGTCCAAGGCATCCCAAGCCCTATGGCCAGGAATTCCCATAGCAGAAATCCAGGGTATGCATTTGTGGGAGACGTATGGGCCCTGTAGTCTATGGAAGATATTAACTAGAGGATGCAACCTGTCGAGGTGCTCTTTACCAGCTTCAGCACCCCAAATGAGGGCTAACCATTCTTTCCCTATAGTGTAGTTTGTGAGTACTGGACAAACTTTAAATATTATAGTGCTTCCTGTGGTAGATAAATGGGTTCTGTTGCAGGACTCTTCTCACCGGGGACCAGTATCTGTCAAACCATGTAACCTGAGAGAAGAAATCTGGCTATGTACTCGAGATGTTCTGAATCCTGAAAAAACAGATATGGTCTCTGATTTATACTCCTATGAGGAATAATACATGGTATGTGGGAAAAGGTAGATTGGGTTGGGAGGGAAAAATTGATAACACCATTATTTTGTCTGATTTATACTGTAACTACAGCGGTATTGTTATAAGGTATAATATGGAGTCATAAGTAAAATTAACACTGTAGATACTAATAGTGATCTAATATAATGGGAGACTGAGTTAAAGCCTTCTCAGGATCTTATTCCCTATGCAGCAGAACTGGTCTGATGAATACTTACAGCTGATTAATGAAAGATTATGATTCTTAATAATTCAGACAATATATGCCAAAAAGAACAGAGAGCTATAGATCTGAGAAGCAAAAGAATTGTACGGTTAGTACAAAAACATGAGAAAGTACAAGTGGAAGGTTCAGCTGTCCGTTTAAATCTATACCAACCCCATATTTTGTAGATATTGTAAATGGATTCAGCATGGACACTCTGATTGTCTATCTCATTGTATGACATTGTAAGGCAAGTAACTGTTATCAAACTAAGGATTTATTTTATTAGAAAAAGCCTTGACAATGGGTCGGGGGGTGTGAACTGTTAATTCCTAGAATTCGCTTGAGCTGTTTTGCTAAATTTCTGCATGGCACTACTTTGGTCAAGGCATGGCATGAAACATACTGATTAAAAGTGTTGTGAGGGCAATAAGCAAATGAAAAGATGCTCATTATCACTAACCATTAGGGAAATGCAAATCAAAACCACAATCAACTCAGCCATAAAAAAGAAATAATTCTGCCATTTGCAGCAACATGGATGGACTTGGAAGGCATTAATTATGCTAACTGAAATAAGTCAAAGACAAATACTGTATGATATCACTTATATGTGGAATCTAATAAATACAACAAATTAGTGAATATAACAAAAAAGAAGCAGATTCATAGATACAGAGAACAAACTAGTGGTTACTAGTGGGGAGGGGGAGGGAAGGGGGCAATATAGGGATCGGGAAGTAGGGGGTACAAACTACTGGGTGTAAGACAGGCTACAAGGATGTATTGTACAACATGGGGAATATAGCCAATATTTTGTAATAACTGTAAATGGAGTATAACCTTTAAAAATTGTATTAAAAAAACACAGATACCGGGACTTCCCTGGTGGTCCAGTGGTTAGGAATCTGGCTTCCAATGTAGGGGACACGGGTTCAATCCCTGGTCAGGGAACTAAGATCCCACATGCCTCAGGGCAACTAAGCCTGTGCGCAGCAACTACTGAGCCCACACGCTGCAATGAAGAGCCTTCATGCCACAACTAAGACCCGACACAGCCAAAACCAAATAAATAAAATATTAAAAAAAAAAACAAAAAAAACCCCACACAGATACCCCTTCATACCCATTAGGATTGCTATTATTAAAAAAAAAAAAAAAAAAAAACCAGAATGTCATAGATATGGAGAAATTAGAACACTTATGAATTGCTAAACACAGTATGGTGGTTCCTCAAAAAATTAAACAAAGAATTGACATTTGATCCAGCAATTCCACTTCTGGGTATATATTCAAAATAAATGAAAGTCAGGTCTTAACCAGATATTTTTACTGCAACGTTCACAGCAGAATTATTCACAACAGCCTAAAGATGCAAACAACCCAAATGACCATCAATGGATGAATGGACAACAAAACAGTGTATATACATACAATGGAATATTATTTAGTCTTAAAAAGGAAGGAAATTCTAATATATGCTACAACATGGATGAATCCTGAAGACATTATGATGTCTTCATCATAAGTTAGAAACAAAAGGACAAATATTGTATGACTACACTTATATGAGTTGCCTAGAGTAGTCAAATTCATAGAGACAGAAAGTATAACAGTGGTAACTAGGGGCTACAAGAAGGGGGAATGAGAAGTTACTCCCTATTGGGCACAGAGTTTCAGCATGAAATCACGAAAAAGTTCTTGAGATGTACAGTCATGGTGATTGTACAACAATGTGAAAGTATTTAATGACACCAAACTGTACACTTAAAATGGCTAAATGGTAAATTTTATTTTATTTTATATATTTATTTATTTATTTATTTATTTCACCGCAATAAAAACAAAGTATTGCAAGAAATTTCAGGTCAGTACAGTTTGTATCAGCCTGTCAGTATTGATAACAGTGAGATTATAGGTTTATACTTGGTCTCTGTGAGAGCTCTGTTACCTAGCAGGAATACGCCAATGAGACCAAAACCCAAAAATCCCTAGCTGAGATTCTATCTGGGGCTCCCTGGTTCCCAGGTGTTCTATACATGCATCTGTGGTTCCTGAGCCAGAGAAAATGCACCTTGCCCGGTCCTAAGGGAGGACGACAGAAGTCTGCACCCAGCTTCTCTGGACCTGGCTGTGAGACAGCCATTGGGTGTGACAGGTATACTTACATTAATGCTGTTGCTATACTGTACCCTTCTCCTGTAATAAACTGCAGATTTGTAAGCACTGTCATTTTAGGTCCTACGAATCTTCTTTAACAAACTCTAACTGCTGCTATTATTGTAGCTATGGTAAGGAAAGGAAATAAAATGAATTAATTTATGTTGTTGCAAGGAGAAACAACTAAGATCATGGGTAAAAGATACAAGAGGGATACTTGATATGCCTTGCAAGGTTCTGAGCAAGTCTCTAGACACATTCAGTAAACATCAAAGCGAAGCTAAATGTCCATGTGCCATGAGATTACTACATTGGGTACACAACCTCAAGGTGCCCACTGAACCCTAAGAGCTGAGATTTTTTAATTTGGAAAGAACTTTTTCAGTAGGAGCCATACCTGTGATGTCAGTTTCCCAGCAATCTGCATTCGTTCAATTTCTGCAGGAGATTTGATCAGCCTGAGATGCTGTACCAGCTGCTGCACAGCCCGAACCTTGTTCTTGCTCCTGGCTTTGACCTCTGTCAACTGCTGCATGTAGTCACAGTGGAGCTGAATGTGAGGGGGCCTCATCCAGTCATACCACAGTGTATGTGTCTCGGCTTAAAACAGATTTAAAATAAAACAGCAACAAGAAATACCACCTGTCATAATGACTTGAACAAGAGTCAAAACTATAAAATACGTAGTATAGAACTCTAAAGGGTTGAACACAAACTCTCAGGACTGAAGTAATTGAAGGATTGGATCGTAAATCATTGGAAAGGCCATTCCCTGAAAACAGCAAGATATTCTGAGACTGAACACACAGCTTTTTCTGCCCTCAAACTTCAGTGTTTTTAATAAAGATGATAGATGAGACTAAAGCTTTATGCAAGCTTTGATTTTATTACTTATTAACTGTTAAAGAACAATTATGACAATTGTTCTCTACACAACTGAGCTAGAGGCATCATTAAATAACTAAACACAAAAGGACAGAAAAAAAGTACTCAGCTCATCAACTTATGGTTAAAAGTGTTCCATCCCTTACAAACAATCTCAGTGTTGGTGAAAGGAGCTCTCATAGTTGATAATACATGCTAATCCACACTTACCCAGGAAATCCTTCCTTTTCCATCTGCCATGTATTCTCATTACAGACAACCACAGTTCACCATCTCACTTTAGAGACCCAAGGAAATGGTCAATTTTTGCCTGAGATATAAGATGAGGCTCATTATGAAAATCTTTTCCATTTACATCAGGTCTCTATTTGTTCCTTTCTTTTTTTTCTGACAGAAACCTATGAGTAGGGGCTTCCCTGGTGGCGCAGTGGTTAAGAATCCACCTGCCAATGCAGGGGACACAGGTTTGAGCCCTGGTCCGGGAAGATCCCACATGCCACAAAGCAACTAAGCCCGTGCGCCACAACTACTGAGCTTGTGCTCTAGAGCCTGTGAGCCACAACTACTGGAGCCCACGTGCCTAGAGTCTGTGCTCCGCAACAAGAGAAGCCACCACAATGAGAAGCCCGTGCACCACAACGAAGAGTAGCCCCCGCTCGACGCAACTAAAGAAAGCCCGTGCGCAGCAACAAAGACCCAACACAGCCAAAAATAAATAAATAAATAAATAGTAATAATAAAAAAGAAACCTATGAGTAGTATTCCGACAATCTAAGTCTGAAGGTTTGTTTGTATGTTTCATACAATGGACTTTGGGACCGAAGAGGGAAAAAATCCTAAAAATTTTGATCGGATATGTATTAGTGGTACAATCTCCTAAATATTTTCACTTTAAAATAAAAGTGATTTTAAATGTAGATTACAGGTAAAACTCTAATCTTATTTTCAATAGAAATTTAATTGCTGTAATTTTTAAAAAGTGAAACAACCATGACCATCTGCTGTCAGCTTATAAAATCACAGACCAACCTTTTTAGGTTTTTAAACTTTCAATCTATGATCACTGGAAACAGTTTTGAAATTCTCTTTTAGAGACTGACTTCAGAAATGTTTATAAACCTTACAAGAATATGACTAAAATTTTACGATCATACATTATTTTGTCTAAAATCAAGTATTTTCCAACTTGATCATCTATCTTATTTATCAAATTCGGATCTAAGTGACTTTTGGACACTTCAAAAAATAAAATGCTTACTAGAGTTGTAGATTTGTAAGAATCACTAAGGATAGTTTATAATGCAGTGTACATTCTGAAAAGTTCCAGAAAAGGAATCCCAAAACATTCTGAGTGATCACAATTTCACCAGTATAAGCGTAGAGAAAGTGACTATTTCAAGGGGCATGAATTCAACCGTGTACACGAACCACCTGAGAATCTTGTTAAAATGCAGATCCTGATTTAGTAGGTATGGAGTGGGGGCTGCAGATTTTACATTTCCAGTATCTATTATGCATTTGTAATTCTACAATGCATCACCAGGTGATTCTCATGCTGGTGATGAATAAATCATTCTTTGAGAATACTGCCCTTTTTTGAAGAGTTGGCAAAAGCAGTAAGATAAGTAGTAATCAAAGGTCAATAGACTGGTCAGTAATCTTGAAAATCAGTAATCTTGAAAATCAGTAATCTTGAAAAGCAGCCCATGCTCATCCTCCACTTTAAAATTCTCTGTCTGGGATTTCAAACTAGAACAGTTAAAAGTCTCTGTGAATGAATAATCCAATGAAGATTTAGCAAATGAATAAATGAAATCTTTAAAGTCTTGTGGAAAAGATTTATATTCTTTTTTTTTTTGGTGGTACGCGGACCTCTCACTGTTGTGGCCTCTCCCGTTGTGGAGCACAGGCTCCGGACGTACAGGCTCAGCGACCATGGCTCACGGGCCCAGCCACTCCACGGCACGTGGGATCTTCCCAGACCAGGGCACGAACCCGTGTCCCCTGCATTGGCAGGCGGACTCTCAACCACTGTGCCACCAGGGAAGCCCAAGATTTATATTCTTTTCATGGTGCCCAGGGCAATACTGCTATGATGATTATTTTAGGAAATGAAGAACTTTGTCTAAACAGGCAAGGAAGGTCTTAGTCCCAATCTGGCCTATGATTTGACTTCTGCTCCCATTTGTTACCTTTCAGTTTTGGTACAAGATGTTGAAATTCTTTCAGCGTATAGGCTTCATCCACTCCAGTTAGAGCTATTGCTCCATCAGTACCAGATCGGGGGCCATCCCAAAGTTCTCGACTGGGATCTCTCTGAGGCACAAAAAGTATGGCCTTGTGTGCTGGTAACTGCTTCCCGGGGAGGCTTTGAAGGACCAGAATGCTATCAGGCTCTTGGAATCCACACAGGTACAGGAAATTGTTGTCTTGGTGGAAAGTATAGGGGATATCATTGCTCATATAGTATGTAGGGTTGGACAGCAGTACCACTGTGTGGTCTGTACCACTCTGCCCTTGTGCTTCCTTGTGGATCAGAGATATTAGTTTGTGTCTGCGAAGTGCATATTCCACCTGGGATAGTCCTGGCGTCACCTCCCCTAGAAATGACAAAAAACAGTGATGCTTTGCATTTCTATAGTGCCAAAGTACTTAAGAGAGTTTAATATTAGATGGAGACACTCAAGTTCATTTCTTCAATTTATGCCCAATCTTCTCATAGCACACGGCAAATTAAGGAGATAACCCAGGTTTCAAATTTCTATTCCATTGCAAAAATTTGGAAGAAAAGATAATTACATGTGGTCCTGCCTGAAAAATGGGATCATGACCCCTTAAGATCTCTTCCAGCTCTTTGGTTCATTCTTTTACTCATTCAAGCAAATATTTACTAAACATTATTATATGGAAGGCATTGTTAGGCAAATAATCCAAGTTGCCCTGAAGTTTCAATATACAAGGTGAGGAGAAGGATCACATTTTCTGTGTAAGACTTCCCCAAAAGAATGTAAGCTCCTCGAAGACACAGAGTTTTGTCTGTTTGCTCAACGTTATGTTCCCAGGGCCTAGAATAACAACTGGAATATAGTAGGCATTTGATAATTGTCAAATGAGCTATAGTAATTTTAGAGTTGAAGGCCAAAAAGCTTTCCCCAATTTCAAGAGTTAGAATAAATTTCTCCTTCTGAATTTCCAAAGCATAATAATATCTTTCTAACAGGGCTTTTCACTTTCTACCTTGTATTAACAGTAAGCTGGGTATACATAACTTCTTTGATGGTCAGAACCATCTTCGTATCCTTCAAAACTCTAGTAATATTATCCACCTCTTGGGGCTGTCATGAGAATCAAATTTGATAAAGCATGTGGTTCTTAAGGATCTGAAGACATCCTAGAAAATCTTTTGAAAGCTATGGATGTATTCTGTTTACTAAATGGCATGTAGGCACATACAAACATTTTTTAAAAAATTTATTTAGTTTATTTTATTTTTGGCTGCGTTGGGTCTTCGTTGCTGCATGTGGGCTTTTCTCTAGTTGTGACGAGCAGGGGCTACTCTTCGTTGCGGTGCATGGGCTTATTGTGGTGGCTTCTCTTGTTGCGGAGCACGGGCTCCAGGCGCGTGGGTTTCAGTAGTTGCGATACGCGGGCTTAGTTGCTCCGCAGCAAGTAGGATCTTCCCGGACCAGGGCTCGAACCAGTGGCCCCTGCATTGGTAGGCGGATTCTTAACCACTGTGCCACCAGGGAAGCCCAAATACAAACTTTTGACATACAATTTCAAGAGTCTCAGATTCCTGTAAGCGCACGCAAAAAACCCATATTAAGAACCCCTGTGGGACCTCCCTGGTGGTCCAGTGGTTAAGAATCTGCCTTCCAATGCAGGGGATGTGGGTTTGATCCCTGGTTGGGGAACTAAGATCCCACATGCCGCGGGGCAACTAAGCCCACAAGCTGCAACTACTGAGCCCGTGCACCACAACTACAGAGCCCATGTGCTCTGGAGCCTGCACGCCACACTAGAGAGAAGCCCTTGCACCACAACTAGAGAGAAGCCTGCATGCTGCAAAGAAGATCCTGTGTGCTGCAACTAAGACCAGATGCAGTCAAAAATAAATAAATAAATAAACATATATATAAAAAAAGAAACTTTGTTATGAAGTGTTCTGTGTTAGTTCTTTATTTTAGCCTTTTCTCCTTTTATTTATTATTTATTTATTTTTTAAACATCTTTAGTGGAGTATAATTGCTTTACAATGTTGTGTTAGTTGCTGCTGTGTAACAAAGTGAATCAGCTATATGTATACATATATCCCCATATCCCCTCCCTCTTGCATCTCCCTCCCACCCTCCCTATCCCACCCCTATAGGGGGACACAAAGCACTGAGCTGATCTCCCTGAGCTATGCAGCTGCTTCCCACTGGCTATCTACTTTACATTTGGTAGTGTATATATGTCCATGCCACTCTCTCACTTGGTCCCAGCTTACCCTTCCCCCTCTCCGTGTCCTCAAGTCCATTCTCTACGTCTGCGTCTTTATTCCTGTCCTGCCCCTAGGTTCTTCAGAACCTTTTTTTTGTTAGATTCCATATATATGTGTTAGCATACGGTATTTGTTTTTCTCTTTCTGACTTACTTCACTCTGTATGACAGTCTCTAGGTCCATCCACCTCACTGCAAATAACTCAATTTCGTTTCTTTTTATGGCTGAGTAATATTCCATTGTATATATGTGCCACATCTTCTTTATCCATTCATCTATTGATGGACAATTAGGTTGCTTCCATGTCCTGGCTATTGTAATATGTGTTAGTTCTTAATACTAGTACCTAACAGACTGCCTGGCTGCTAGCCCAGTGATGACTGGGTGAACGCTTCACTTCTGAAATGGAAATTATGCCTGCTTTCACTTTAGGTTCCCAGACAAAAGAACTACTAAAACAATTACTCACAAAAGCTGTATCCCTAAGCCTACACTTAACAATAATAATAGTAAAACAACATCTAATGCTTATTAAACGCTTACTACGTGTCTGTACTATTCTAATTATTTACACGTATCAACTTATTTTATCTTTACAATGACTCTATGACGTGGGGAATTATTATTATTCCCTGTGGTAGCCAGTCTCCACATGCAAGTATGGGAAGATAGCCATGAAACACTGCTGTGTAAGAAAGTTAAATAAGAAGATGGACAATATGTTCTCATTATGTTTAAAAAAAACAAAGGAGAGAGAAAAAAGAATTTAGAAAAGAATCAGAATTTTTATAGTGGTAACCTATGGAGAGTGACATAAACTGAAATTTTCTATTTAACATGATTTATTACATTATTTGAACTCTGTTTCAATGAGCATATACTCTTATAATTAAAGTCCCAAATAAAGAGAAAAAGAGGTTAAAAAAGGGAAACCATGGACAGTCCACTCCATACTCATAACCTACAATGGTTCTTTATCGTCTGTCAGATCAAATTCATACTCTTAAGCCACTTTAACATTTACATTTAAATGTAACATTTTAATGTTCTCTACCAGGTGACTTCAACTTATCTGGCCAAACTTTTTTTGGTAACAGCTCTACTGAGATATTTTCATACCATACAATTCGCCCACTTACAAGTGTACAATTCAATGATTTTTGGTATATTCACAGATTTGTGCAACCATTACCCTAAACAATTTTAGAATATTTCATCACTCCAAAAAGAAATCCCATGCCAATCAATAGTTACTCCCTGTTTCCTCCGAATCCAATCCAGCCCTTGACAACCACTAATCTATTTTCTGCCTCTCTGGGTTTGTCTATAGTACAGATTTCATATAAATGAAATCACACAAATGTGTTCTTTGGTGACGTGGCCAACTTTTTTCTTATCATTCCCCCAATTATTCTGAAATTAATTCCTTCTATATCTTACATAAGTCCAACCTGTTACCTTCCTTACAGTGTGTCCCCTTTCTAAAATTTCTTCTCCCTCCAAAGCAATTCCACTCAAGACTTGGAGCTCAATATATGTTTGTTTTTAGACCCTTCTGATTCAAAAGGCTTTCTTGATTAGCCCAGATCATGTTGATTTGTTCCTTTGAATTACATTTTTTTTAAAGTCAACTATTTAATTTTCATATACACATCTTATAGTTGTGTATAAATGTAATCATACCATACTCTTTCAATAGTTAAACACTTTTCCCCCATTTCTTCATTGTTTGAGACCTCACTCCCCTTCCCTCCTTCTACCCACATTAGAACCACCCCCGTATTTGTAATTTAGTACGTATCCTTTCCTATTTTTCTCAATACTCATATAATCACATACACATATACCTGCATTTAGGGTTTTTTGAGTCACTAGTGTTTTACAAAAATGGGATACTACACAGTCTTGTGTTTATGTTGTCTTTCTAACACAACAATACCTCATAGAAGTCCCTCCCACCAACTTATTTAGCATAGCTTCAACTCATTCTGCTTGATGTCTCCATATTATTTCTTGGGGGAATGTATCATAACTTCCTGACCCATTTCCATACTGGTGGGCATTCATATTATTTTCAGCTTTTTGCTGCAATAATGAACATCTTTCTACTTATATACATAGGGTACTTTTAAATGCCCTATGTACTGTTGCTTTTATTTCTGTGGGATAGTCCCAGGAGAGAAATTAGTGGATCAAAGTCCTTCGAGTTTTCTTAGTACTCATGTTCAGTACATACAACTCAGCTGTTTATGATTACTTTGGAACTGTCTAGTTGTTTTACCTATGCATAGTTTACCTCTCCAGAAAATTCTGTAGTTCTATCCCATTAATAATTTTTTATTTAACTTTTATTTACCTACAATATAAAAATTTACATTTTTATTAACAAAATTGGTAAGAAACAAAAGAGATAAATAAGAGAGGGCCTTACAGGCCAGGCAAAGCAACAGAGTTGGTCCTAGAAAAGCTCACATCACATTTCTTTCTCTGAGGATTGAGTTGGCTAAGAGTCCCCTAGGGCTCTAGGGCAGAATATCGAACTTTATACCAGAGCCCAAGAACAGCTTAACTCTTTATCTCCCTGATAATTACTCATGTTAAGTCTGCCACTGTTACTCAATATTGGAAATTTCCTAATTTACCCAAGCAGCAAATACTCTTTTCTAAAAGCAGAGGCTGGTTATAATTGGTGGATTATCCAACTTTTCCTTTTTGTCATTTTACTTGGTCCCTATCCTGTGCTTTGCTTTTGGTCATTTCCCAGCTATGGTCCATGTAATAAAACTAAACTTAAAAAATCAATTCATTGTGTTTTTAAAAAAACTTTGGAAATAAGAAGAAAATTCACAATATTAATGATCTTAATTAATCAATGTGTTATCTCTCATTTTCATTAATAACAGAGTATACATATATGTATATTAGGAAGTAACTTCTGAAAAAAAGATAAAATTATTTAAAAATCAAAGCAGGATTGCAAAACCACCTTTTTCGCCCTTCAAAGCATTCCTCGTTGCTGAATCTAATTTCATACAAATGACTATATGAGAAATATTTAAAACACTGACTACATTTTCCCAAGCTTACTAACTGTAAACACTATACAGTGACCATTAACTATATGCTTCCAAACTTCTGAAATTTCGAAGAACTCTTCATCACAACAGAAAAATTAACCAAGGAAAAACACACCTTATCAACTGAAGGAGGGAAAAAAAGTGTGATAAAGCAATGAACTTCAACCCTCGAGGTAAACCTGGCAGTTGTTATGGCCTTTGATCATAGAACTAACCATTATAGTCAATCTAGCCTGACTTTCTTCAGATAAAACTGCATCTGAATAGACATTCTGGTAACTTTGTCAAGTTGTAAAGTATTAAGAAGCAAAGTCAGTATTTTGTCATGTGGAGTCAATTAAGGATAGAAGGGCTACTCTAACAAGTTATTTAATCAATCAAATGCCTAGATGTCACAATCTGGACTCTGTAAATAACAAAGTCTCACAATCAATCCTGAGACTGTGCAGCCAAGAAGAAAAGCTCTTCCAGGACATCTAGGATTGGACCTCTCGAGAGAATAAGAAAAATGTTCTTCATATTTTACCAGCCAGGCAGAAAACCCAGAGAGGAAAAGTTTTATGAAGACAGAAAATGGATGGAAATATGCAAGTCTTTGCTACAATCCAGGTATGTATTTTAATTATTTCCTGAAACTAACTAGGTTAGGATTTTAACGTGGCCTGAAGCAGTGTCCTTGAATTCTGTTTAATATTAGGAGTTTTTTTATTGTATATAAGGAAGTAGTGCATAAAATGATCTATTACTATGTAGTTGGAAAATGGGGGTAAAGAAAAAGCTAATAAACATTTCCTTTATAAAGTAAAACACAGACCTCTCTGAAAAAAATGAAATGATCAAATAAATAATTTAAAAATACTCTCAATGGATTTCATTTGCATATACTGAGCAAAACAAGCCAGACAGAAAGGGTTCATACTGTATGATTCCACTTACACGAAACTCAAGAACAGGCAAAACAATCATGTTGATAGAAACTAGAGCAGTGGTTAAGGATGGAGGTGGGGACTGACTAGAAGGGTATGAGGGGACTTTCTGGGGTGACGGAAATGCCCTATATCTTGAATGGGGTATGGGTTATATTGGTGTACCTTTGTCAAAACTCACTGAATTGCATATTTAAGCTCTGTGCAATTCACCTAATGTAAATTTTATCACATTAAAAAAAAAAAGTATAGCTGGCCCTCCATATCCATAGGTTCTGCATCTGGGGATTCAACCAACCACAGGTCAAAAATATTTGGAAAAAAAATTCCAGAAAGTCGCAAAAAGCAAAACTTCAATTTGCTGTGCATGAGCAACTATTTACATAGCATTTACATTGTATTAGGTATTATAAGTAATCTAGAGATGGACTATAGTATATGGGAGGATGTGCATGGATTGCAGTCATATACTATGCCATTTTAGGTAAGGGACTTAAGCATCCGCAGATTTTGGCATCTGAGAGGGTCCTGGAACCAATCCCCTAAGGATACCAAGGGATGACTATACCACTCTCTAAAGCTGAAATAACTTTTACATCAAGACTTCTCTCACTTGAATTTCTTCTTACCAAAAATATTATATCAAAAAAAAAGACTTAAAAAAATTCCCATATAGTATTCTTTGGCATGGGTGTTATGTGCTGTTTTGTGGTTAAGTGTGGACTCAGACTTTTGCTGAGTTGGAATTCTGGCTTAACAACCTACTGAGTGACTTGGAGAGAGCTACCAAACTGTTCTGTGCCTGTGTCCTCATCTGTAAAGTGGAGATAATAATAGCACCCACTTCACAAAGTTGTCAGGAGGATTTAATAAATTAATGAAATACTTAGAACAGTTAGCACTATATAAATATTAGTTATAATTATTACCACAATAAATAATTTACACTTGAAGAGGTTGTCATCCTTGGTAATACAAAGCCAGGTAGGATCTTGAAAGAGTAAAATTTATAGGGATGACCATTATCCCTATCAAAGTAATTATTTACATGAAAGCCCTGAATTATCTGGTTTTCTCACACAATGACAAGAATGAGTTAAGTGATTCAGGAGCTTTTTTTTTTTTTCTTTTGTGGTACGCGGGCCTCTCACTGTTGTGGCCTCTCCCGTTGCGGAGCACAGGCTCCAGACGCTGCAGGCTCAGCGGCCATGACTCACGGGCCTAGCCGCTCTGCGGCATGTGGGATCTTCCCAGACCGGGGCACGAACCCATGTCCCCTGCATCGGCAGGCGGACTCTCAACCACTGCGCCACCAGGGAAGCCCTATCTGAATTCTCTAATTTGTCTATCATATATATGGAACTTGTATAATAATTAGGAAAGGGACTGAGATATTTTCCAAAAGTTTAAAGTACTGGCAAGTACTGGGGAAATATTCCAAACATGAAACCTTTTGGAGCAAACCACATAATAGAAACATACTTTTAAACCCCAAACTAACAAACTGACCTTGGCTTTGTAAAAGAGATTTTAAAAAAAGTATTAAATGCCTCTTAATTTTTCTTAATAATTGACTCTTCCTCCACCCCTCAATTATTTTAACATTCCTGTAAGTTTTGCTTCTCTACGTGGAGAAAGATAAGTGATTAACACTTTGGCTATTGTATATCTGGTGGTTTCTTTAACACTGATAATTCTCTTTTAAAATTCTATCTACTTTTATCCCTTCTCACTTACCCCAATCCCTATTGTACAGGAGAATAAAAATTATGATAGTTGGGCTTCCCTGGTGGCACAGTGGTTGAGAGTCCGCCTGCCGATGCAGGGGACACGGGTTCATGCCCTGGTCCGGGAAGATCCCACATGCCACGGAGCAGCTGGGCCCATAAGCCATGGCCGCTGAGCCTGCGGCGTACGGAGTCTGTGCTCCGCAACGGGAGAGGCCACAACAGTGAGAGGCCCGCATATCGCAAGAACAAAAAAAAAAAATTATGATAGGTATTCCTTTCCCCCCATAGTTTATATGAACATATGTATATATATGAACTTTTATGTATTTATTTACATTCATTTTTAACATAGTTAACATGCACATAACACAAATAACAGTCTAGATACAGAGGCCATCATCTTGACAACATGATTACTAGTTTCAAGGCCTGGAAAATGCAGCTCACCATGTAAAAGTATCTCACCACGAGAAATCAGTAATTTTCAAAGCTGGTAAAACTTAGTATTAAATTGAAGCTACAGGTAGGTTGATTGGATGGAGAAATACTTAAATTAATATCAACTGTATTGCTATTAAGCTTACCTTACAGCTTTGAAAAACTCTGATTTCCTGTGTGTTTCAGTGGTGAGCTGCATTTCCTGAGTCTCAGCCGACTTCCCAGCAGGAATTCCAGTCTGATGAAGAATCAGCAAAAGGAAGCCCTCACTGAGAGACACACTGGTATCATTCACTGAGTGGAGACAGTGAAAGAGCAACATATTTCCAAAGGCAATTTAGATTATTAATATATATGCTTACACAGTAAATATAGATTTAACTTCGCATGGCAGAAGCAACAATTAATCTCCCTTGAAAACCTGACTGATTTTTCTCCAAAGCATTTGGTTTTACCCTGCCTACCTCTTTGGGATGATATTCATTCATCATAGTTCATCCCTTAAGTGTCTTGAAAAAAAAAAAAAAAAAAAAAAAAACCTTAGGTATGAATTTGAACAATAGTGATGACACATCTTCCAGCAGGAACGCTGGAATCTTAAAGTAGAAAAAAAAAATTAGTGAAGTAAACCTTTATCAACTTTTTGCATCACCTTTATCACTGTTACAACTTCTCAAAGTTGTGACAATCACATCTGGAAATCTTGTGTAACCTATATAAAAATATTTTTCTTAATATTGACATGAGCATTTAATGCTTTCAAGAGAAATGTTTCCTAAAATGTCTTTAACACAGTAGTTCACAAAGAATCAATAGTTAGAACACAGTTCTAGACACCATGTTTTAGAAAGTAACAGAATTTTTCTTTAAAAACATCTTGAAATACATACTTTTCACTGATACTTCTGAATTATAAGGCTAATCGTATTTATTGCTCTAGATGGTGCTGTCTATACAGTACTATTAGCCACATGTAGCTGTTTAAATTTAAATTAATTAAAATAAAATTTTAAAAAACTTAGTTCCTCAGTTGCACTAGCAACATTTTAAGTGTACAGTAGCCACTTGTGTATAGTGGCTACTGTATTGGACAGCAAAGCTGTAGAACATTCCCACTGCTGCAAAAATTCTATTGGATAGCACAGTTCTAGACAAAGCCCCTATAGAGAGAGACAGTCATTACAGTTAAAAGGCCTTACCTGGTCTGAGGAGGTGTGGGTGTGTAAAGGGGCTGGGCTGGCCTAAGTATCGGTTTGGAATCCTCCTCTCTGGGATGGGCTGCAGGGAGTACCTTCGCTGTGAACATGACATGCGTCCTGAAGGAGAGATAAAGAGGATGAAATGGAATAGTGTACCTAGAAAGTCCTGACAGTATATACACATTTATCTACCTCCAGCAGTAGGATGCTTTAGAAAAATGCAAATTAGTATCTCCTTCAGTATTTATATGGTCCTTCCTCTGGGCCAGCCAGAGCCTGTGTTGGGCCTTAGGGATACAGAAATGAGATTATCTTTACCTTTAGTGACTTTAGTCTACCTGAATATAATAGAGGTATATATACATACGGTATGATTAACGTATGAATAGGAACTATGGGAACAGAAGAAAGACAACAAACAAAAGCAGGGGAGGGGGTAGGAAGTATTCCATTGAGGTAGTGTTATGCTGTGTCCTAAAATTCAGAAAAAGAGAATTAACATTTTTATTGAGAATATGTGAAGTTTGAGAAAATATGCATATCTTATCTCATTTAATCTTGGAATGTTAGAGCTAGTGAAATGTCTGAAAAATGCTTAATCATATTTAGCCCATAAGAAGTAATATTATTAGCATTCATTCAGCAAGATTTATTAAGTGTGTGATTGGCACATGCTGGGAAAGACACAAGACTATCTGTCCTGGTCTGGAAAGAACATACAGTCTAGTGGAGGTGAGACAGAGCAATACTACATTGTGAACGCAGTGGTGGATTCATACACAAGGTTTTTGAGAGCACAAAAACTAACACAACGTTCTGGGACGGGTACAATGACGATAGGACACAGTGATCTGGGGAACAGAGAAGCACACTACAGGCGCTTGTGTGAGACTGCAGAAGTAGAAATGCCTACTCTGAGTAGGAATTAGTCAGTGAAAGTGACAAGGGGAGCTGAAGGTTATCATGAATGAGATTATGAAAGGGAAGGCATAGAAAGCACCACATTCACATGTGCCCATGTGTGCGTGTAGAGGGAAAAGGGATAGAAAGAGAATTTCAGGTCAGTGTTGCTGCTGGTGGGAGAGGAAAAGATCAGCAAGGTAAGGATCAGACCATTGAAGGCTTTGTACACCAAACTAAGGAATTAGATTTTTAACTGTTACGTGAGGTAGGCATTATCATCGCCTTCTTTTTTATTTTTTTTTAACAAACAAGGAATCAGACTCAGAGAAGTAATTTGTGCAATGTTACACAGTTAGTACTAGGGAAGCTGGGATTCAAACTCAGTTTTATTTAACTTCAAAATCTTTGCTCTTATCCCTCTACTCTGTCACTCAGTAAGTCTTCTCTGCTAAATCCCAACAATACAATTAGTACTGTACAATCTTCCCGTGAACATACAATCACTACCACAGCAAAACGCAGTAAGTCTGGATCAAGTTAAAGGTTTTAGTAGGGATTATAAAGCATGAATGACAGCGTATGTATTTGGAGAGTTAAGAAGTCTTAAACATTAACTTTGAATTAAATTTACAAAGGGTTATTGAGAAAAATTATAGCTTCTTGAATGATTAAAAAGACAGAGAAAATGGTACAGGTTTCCAGGCAGTATGAAAATACAGTTAAGAATAGTGGAAAATGAGAAAAAGGACAAAATATTAAGTATTTCCTGGAATCTGTCTTTAGAAAATGTACAGAATACATATTAAGGAATATGCCCAGTCTACACAGGTTGAAAGCTTAACAAAGATGAGGCAAGCAATTTACAAAAATACAGAGAAACCTGCTAAGTGACACCACAGGGAAGCAATCAACAAAGAACAATTCAGCTTTTTCCACATAAATTCGAAGGCAGGTAGGGGTGGTAAGGTATGGAAGGGGGAATCTATAGATTAAGTAAGCCTTAAAAGACATTATCAACCAACTGTAATATGTGAACCTTAACTGGATCCCGATTCAAGCAACAAACTGTAAAACAAGTACATTATATTTATGAGATCACTGGAAATTGGGACAGTGATTGCATATTTGATGGTATTACGGAAGTAATATTTGTTTTAACGTGTGATAATGGTGTTGTGATTATGTTAAAAAGAAACTTATCTTTTAGAGATATAAATAGAAATATTTACAGATGAAGTGATATGATCTCAGGTTTGTCTCAAAATAATATGGGGGTGGGGTGGATTGCGGAGAGGATGAATGGGGATTTGAATGAAACAAGACTGGCCATGAGCTGATAATTATTGAAGCTGTGTGATGGGTACATCAGAGTTCATTATACTACTCTACTTGTGTATATGTTTGAAATTTTCCATAATAAAAAAGTTGAAAGAAAAAGAAAGATGAAGCGACCATAGAGAAAAATGAAGGAAATAAGCATGTACTCCAGAAGGCAATCTAAGACAAAGAATTAAAGGCAGCATGGTATAGTAGAAAAAAGTGCTAGTTCTAGTTTAGTTCTACTAACTACATGATCTTGGCATGTTACATAACTCCTCTGTACTTATTTCTTCACCTGTGAAATAAAGCCGTTATATTAGGTAGTGGCTTTCAAATTTTTAAAACCAAGACCCACAGTAAGAAATATATTTTAGGGCTTCCCTGGTGGCGCAGTGGTTGAGAGTCCACCTGCCGATGCAGGGGACACAGGTTCATGCCCCGGTCCGGGAAGATCCCACATGCCGCAGAGCGGCTGGGCCCGTGAGCTATGGCTGCTGAGCCTGTGCATCCGGAGCCTGTGCTCCACAACGGGAGAGGCCACAACAGTGAGAGGCCTGCATACCGCAAAAAAAAAAAAAAAAAAAGAAATATATTTTACACAGTAACCTAGTATATACAGACATATATATGTATAATATATATAGAAATTTCACTAAATACTATTCTTCCTGTGACTCTTATTTTTGCTGCCCTATTCCATTAAAAATAAGCTTGCCTCAGTGCACTAAAATGATTTTATTACTGCAGTGTCTGGAATGGTGGCCCCCAGAAGATACGTCCACATCCTAATCTCCAGAACTTGTGACTGTTAATTGGAAAAAGGGTTTTTGCAGATGTAATTAAGGAACTTGAGATGAACGGATCATCCTGCATTATCTGGGTTGATCCTAAATCCAATGACATGTGTCCTTGTAAGAGAAATGCACAGGGAGAATTGAGACAGAAGAGGAGGAAGCAATGTAACCATGGAGGCAGAAACAGAAGAGATGTGGCCACAAGCCAAGGAATATGTATAGCCACCAGAAGCTGGAAGATGGGAAGAACGGATTCTCCCCTAGTGCCCCGGGAAGGAGTGTAGTCCTGCTGACACATGATCTCGGGCTTCTGGCCTCCAGAACTGTGAGACAATACATTTCTGTTGTTTTAAGCAGACATGTTCATGGTAATTTGTTATGGTAGCCTCAGGACTAATACAATGACTTACTAAGGTTGAAATAAATATGTCAAGTGCTTGATTATTTTTTCATAGTTCACAAATTCTTCATTTTTTCAAACAAAAACATGGAACAACTGAGAAGTAAGTTATTAAAGCTCAGTAACCCAGAGGTCATATTATGCAAGAGGTATGCTGTGGCCATAAACAACAGCTCCCACTGGTTTATATGGCACTGTTTGAGGCTTCCAGGAAAATATAGGGGAAATAGTCCAGAGGGTTAAGGATGGTCTGGTATGACTCTGGACTAGCTCTGTTTGGAAGGTCTAGTCCCTACCCCAACCCCACAGTGACACCACAATGCAGCCCTCCCTGACATAAGCTTGTAACTCTGCTTGCCATATAATCTGTATCCTAATGTGTCCTAGCAGTGGTCCATGGTAATAACATTGTCTTCAATGTAAAAATGTGCCTATCTGCAGTCACTGCCTCTACCACCATCACCAGCAGAGCCTAAGCTGAGAGGAAACCACGGTTCTCACTACCCTGAGCACCCCTTTCCAACCACCTGTTACAACACAGTGGATTACTATGAAGTTCTAGAATTGCAGAGATATACTTCACCTGTGGACATTAAAAAGGATTATTGAAAAGTGGCACTTAAATGGCACCCTGATAAAAATCCAGAAAATAAAGAAGAAGCCGAGAGAAAATTCAAAGAAGTAGCTGAGGCATTATCAAATGATGAAAAATGGGACATTTATGATAAATATGGCAAAGAAGGATTAAATGGTGGAGGCAGAAGTCATTTTGATGATTCTTCTGAGTATGGCTTCACATTCCGTAAGCCAGATGATGTCTTTAAAGAAATTTTTCGTAAAAGGGACCCATTTTCATTTCATTTCTTTGAAGACTTGCTTGAGGACCTTTTTTTTTTTTTTTTTTTGCAGACCTTTTAAATAATCCAAGAAGCTCCTATGGAAGCAGAAACAGAGGTGAAAGATCTTTTCCTCTACATCCAGTGAATATCCAGCTTTCGAGAGATTTTCTTCATATGATACAGGATATATACCATGTGGTTCACTGGGCCATGAGGGCCTTCATTCATTCTCTTCCCTGACATTTGACGACAGTGGGATGGGCAACTACATATCTGTTACAACTTCAGGTAAAATTGTTAATGGCAGAAATACCAATACAAAGAGAATTATTGAGAATGATCAAGAAAGAGACAAAGACAATGGTGAGTTGAAGTCCTTTCTTTTAAATGGTATGGCAGATGAAGAGAGCTTTGCTGAAGAATGCAGTTGGAGAAGACGGTCATTCAACAATTATTCACCAAAGTCCTGCAGCCCCAAACATGTATCTCAATATACTTTTGCAACTGGAATCCCTCTATTTTCTCAGCAGGATTCAAAGCAGGTGGTAAGAGGAAAAAAAAGAAGCATAAAGAGGTACAGAAGAAGAAGTCAACTAAAAGGAATCATTAAGTTGACTCTTCAGACACATTATGTTCATATAACATTTGAACACAGCTCTTTATGTGCTTCTTTTTTTAAAATTTTATTTTATTTATATTTTTATACAGCAGGTTCTTATTAGTTATCCACTTTATACATATTAGTGTATATATGTCAATCCAATTCATCACACCATCTTTGTGTGTTTCTGTTAGAGTTTTGCAGATAATATTTGTTTAATACCACACTAAGATTATGTTTTTAACGTATTTAGCAGGACT